ATTTTTGCATACGAGTGCCAAATTAATTATTTAGATGGCTACACCCGCGCACGTCCGTCAAAAATAGTCATGACAGTAGTAGTAGTAGCCATAGCAAGTTTCAGTGGCCATACATGCCTGTGTTCGCATTAATACTGTATGCATAAGTAAATAACTTGTCTGTCCGCGTATGATGACGCTTTGTCAACCTCATTTCCTAATTTCACCCAGCACAGCACAACAAACAACATACGACGAGTGTAGTTTATTTTCTATGCGCACACACTTTTTTTATCCACCTCTTTGCTTTCTCTAGTTTTTTTTTTGTTTGTTTCTTTTTGTGTACATGCGTACGAGTATTTTAAAATCTTCAGCGTTTTCATATTTTTTCTAAAATTTTGAATTGACACACTTGTGCTGCTGGCCACTGCCAGCCGCAGCACTGCATTTCGCATTCGATATTTATCACCTGCTGTGCGTACCGCACTCCCACCGCCGACAGCTTGGTACAATATTTACCTACATATCTAGAGACTCGTAAATAATAAGAATGTGCCGTGAAAATGCGTGAAGCAGGTGGCTTAGACTCCGAGATTCATTCAGTACGATTGGAAATGCAGCAAAAGCACCAAAACCTCGAAAACACTGAAACACCTGACAGACGGCCATTAATCGTATTAAATTGCGAACTACATACATAATTGCAGCAGTGTGTGTATGTGTGTGTGAAAATATACTTCTTTCTATTTCTAGATTTTTATGCATATTAAAAAGCAGAAGTAGCCAAAATTCGATGACTAGTGAATGGCGGCGCGCACAGGTACAAATACTTACAGTACTGTTCAGATAAAAGTAACCCCTGCATACGACTGCAATTCTATCCAATAAGATATTTACAACTTGTGGCATTATTTTTTTTTGTGTTTCAAGCTTCTGTAGCTGTGAGTTTCACCTGCATTTTATAATCTTTTGCTTTACCATAACCCAAAGCCAAAAATATTAAATTTGATTTAAATCAGGATAGTTTCCATATTAGAATTACAACCAATTTCACGGAAGAAATCTAAGTGAAAAGTGATTTCAATTTTTTGAACCTTATATGGAAATTGACAGAAAATCAAAAATCATTTGGAAACATACATAAAAAAAAATATATATTCCGATGAACTGATAACCTCCTCCTTTCTTGGAAGTCGGTTAAAAAATTATTAAAAATAAACGCGATTTTTTAGTCGTTTGAAATTTGCCCTTCATGAGACTATAATTTTTTGGGCTATACTTTTTTTTGGATCTTTACGTCTTTTTTCCGAAAATCAACAACATTTTTGCGAAAATCCACGAAATTTGACTTTCTCATAATGCAATTTCAATTTTTAAATAGCCTAAAATAGTCAGCGTTAGGGCGAAGGGAGGTATATTCATGCACAACTTATATCGATTTTATTCAATTTAGGACAAAAAATTCGTTGTTTTTTTTTCATTAGTTCTCTGAATTTTACAAAACAAATTTTTTTCTTATTTTAATATAATTTTCTTTTCTTTTCAAAAATTCAACTTAAAAGATAAGAACATATTAAATTTAAATGAAAAAAAACAAACCATTTCTAATGTTTCAGTTTTTAAATAAGTATTTATTTTTTTTTAATATTATGTTAGTAATACTGTTTATCGACATATTGTATGACAAATGACATGTGTGACCGCATGCGTTTTCATTTTCATACTGTGCGTTTTCATTTTCAAACAGTGCTTAATATGTAAAATAAAAAAAATTCAAAAAAAAAAATTAAAAATTTTTTTTTAAAATTTCAACGCTGAACATTTTCTGCTATTTAAAAATTTAAATTGCATTATGCGAAAGTCAAATTTCGTGGATTTTCGCAACAATATTGTCGATTTTCTGAAAAAAGGCGTGGAAATCCAAAAAAATAAGTACGGAAGCGCCCTCTGGCGGCCCTCAAAAGAAAAAAATTAATGCCAGTAATGGATTCCTCGACCCCAAAAACCCCCCATACACATTTGGCTAGTTTTCAATACAGCTGTTTCAACAGGTGAGCCACTTTTTGAAAAAAAAAACTAGATAGAAAAAATCGCCGGCTCGGAACTCAATTTAGACCTATGGTTTCTTGGGCAAAAATGCTTGAATTAACCCAAATAATCATAATCGCGATGTGCCTCTGTTAAGTTTTTTGGGCCCCTACAAATCGACCAGCCCTAATGTACATATGTATGTATGTATGTACATATGTACATACATATATGGTTTTGGTTAAATCTTGGACAATATTTTTATAGAAAAAAATCTAGCTTGAAAGCCGTTGTGAATATTTACAAAACTCAACACGTGAACACTTGTTTGAGTGCCTGTATGTACATTAGGGTGGTCCTTAAAAAATGAAATTTTAAGGCTCACCCCCTAAATCGCTAATACCACGGTCAAAGATATCACATATAAACTTTAGTCCCGACTGGAGACGGTTAAGGCGTGTCGCACAGGGGTCAAAGTCCAGATTTCACTATGGAGACTCAACAAATTTAAGCCAAATTTTTTTTTCATCTAATAGCCAAAATTGATACTACAAAAAATTTGTTGAGCCTCCATACAGGAATCTGAACTTTGACCCCTGTGCGACACGCCTAAACCGTCTCCCGTCGGTGCCAAAATTTATACGCGATATCTTCGACTTTAGTAGTACCGATTTTGGGTATTAGATGAAAAAAAAATATTAACTTAAACTGGTTGAGTCTCTATAGAGGAATCTGAACTTTGACCCCTGTGCGACACGCCTAAACCGTCACCGATCGGGACCAAATTTTTATTTTTTTTGTGATATCTTTGACTATATTAGCATCGATGTAGGGGTTGAGGTTTAGGAAATCTGATGTAATAATGTACTTAATACATTTAAGGACCACCCTAATGTACATAAGACTGCATCGCCAAAAAAATTGCAGTTTTTCCGCCAAGATTACAAAATTTATTATATTTGAAGACGTCCATCAAAATATTTCGGAAAAATATTAACATTTACGTGAGACCGCTTTGAAAATACCTCCAAATGGAGTTTTTTATGAATAAAAATAGTTTCTTAAAGAATTTTCGAAACAAATCCCTTCAAATGACAAAACAGATTAAGATTACAAGATCTGCAAAAAGTTGTTTCATAACTTTTTCAAAGATTGGTTTATGAAAATCTTGAATAACTGGGCCAAAAAGTAAACCGATTTAGACTTATGAGGTAGCAGTGGAAAGGTATTTCCTCACTCTTTGCAAAAAAAAAAACTCACTACCGTCTCAATTTTTTTTTTTCAAATATCAACTCATCTTAATTCAAGTTGAGATGACGCTCGTTCATCCTACCTTTCTCTTTCATACTTTGAAAATAAGAAATAAAAAGGGTAAGAAAATACCTTTCCAATGATACCTCTTAACGGTTTTGTCCGGTTCATTCATAAAAAACTAAGTTTTTCAATTGGTCCAGTTCACGTAAATCTTGAAATTTTTCCGAAATATTTTGGTGCAAGTCTTAAAATATAATAGATTATATAATTCCAATAGAAAAACGGTATCGTTTCTTTTTTTATTGGGGAGTGATGCAGTCTAATGTACATATATTTCTATTTAATAACAATCGGCGGTTATAGTCGATGTAAATAAGCTTAAATTAAATAACTAAAGCAAGCTTGGTTTTATTTAAAATACTACTATGCATACATGTTGTGGACTTTCGCTACCTTTTTTTATAAAAAGGGATATTGAACTCCCCTTTTCCTCCTGCTTCCAATAAACATCCCTATGGGTGGGAGTGTAAAATAAAAAAAGGAGCTGATAAGGTGCATGCAGAATATGGTCGGATGAATGCATACCCGACGGCTGGAATTTAAGTGAGCTCTGCTCAATCCGAGCTTATCGAGCGTATTGTGTGAAAGGCTGAAGCCCACCGTCAACAACGAACTGATTGGGGCTCATCAGCGTGGCTTTAGACCTGGGGAATCCTCCACCCACCACCATACGCCAAAGCCATCGATGCTAAGATATACAAAATCCATTACCGACACAGCTAATATCCCTATTAAAGTTTATAAATTTATTACAAATTTCATCCAAAAATAAATAATAATGATGTTTGCGAAGATAATAAGAACAGAACCGTTACAGTTACAGTTACAAAAGTAGAGGTCTTCGTTTATTTAGGAACCAGCATTAACACCAATAATAATGTCGTCAGCCTAGAAATCCAGTGCTACTTTGGAGTAAGTAGGCTGATAAGAATTAAAGTCCTCGCTCGTCTTACAAAAATTACACTCTATATGTCACTTATCTTGCCCGTGCTGGTATATGGCGCAGAAGCATGGACCATGACAACATCGGATGAGGCGGCTCTTGGAGTTTACGAGAGAAAAAAAGATTATGCGAAAGATTTACGGGCCGGAGACGATGGAACGATGAGTTGTATGAGTTTTACAGCGATATAGACATAGTGCGGCGAATTTAACTACGCTGACTTGGTCATGTCGTACGAATCGACAGAAACGCTGCAGCTCTAAAAGAATTCCAAGGCGAGTCGTGATGCTGGTAACAGAGGAAGAGAAAGGCGTCCTCTGCGTTGGAAAGACCAGTTAGAGAATAACCCTTAATATATCAACTTTCCGATGAAAAACGAATTACCGAAATCGATTAACGTGGTCCAAAGTTATGTGGTAACATACATAAAAAAAAAAATATTCAGACGAATTGATAACCTTTCTCTTTTTTTTGTGAAGTCGGTTACCAAGTCAAAATTGTCGAATAGTCAACAATAAACAAGCCTACGTACACACATACATACATACATACCCTGGGTATAAAAAATTAGATGCTTACTAAGTTCAATATAACGGCGGTGTTTTTTATAAACAAATTTAATTGTACACGTTTTTGAAATTATTTATATTCATAAATGTTATTTTTCTTTATGGTGATAGCTAGCCAAACTGGTTCTTTATTGCATTATTTTTGGTAACTTACTGCTATAAAAGCACCGAATGCCTTCCAAATTTATTCAGATTTAATTCAAACATCGATTACTAAACAAGTGAAAACTTCTTATCCCTTAATATGGCTAAAGTTATGGTAAATAAGCAAATGAAAGTTGTCGCTTTCAAAATTACATATATATGTATTCTATTAAGTATATATCGGTTTCTTCTGTTACTTTTTTTTTGTTTAGATAATCTTCTTCGCTGTTTGCGTTGCTTTGGCTATGGCCAAACCAGGTGGATATGGTGGCTCTTCTGGCGGATTTGGTGGGCAAGGTGGTTTTGGCGGCGGCAGCAGTGGGGGCTATGGCCACCAAGGCGGATCACTTGGCGGTGGCCACGGAGGATCACTTGGCGGTGGCCTAGGACATGGCGGATCACTTGGCGGTGGCCACGGAGGATCACTTGGTGGTGGCCTAGGACATGGCGGTTCCCTTGGCGGTGGCCATGGAGGATCACTTGGCGGTTACGGCGGTGGTCACTATTAAGTTTGACTGATGTACATACATATGGACATCCATACACATGTAAAAGTCCCGAAAATTTGTGCACATACATACATACTTAAGTAGAAACATTTACTTTACATATGTATGTACAAATTAAGATTTTTTATTTTTAAATCATTGCAAAATCGTAATTCTTTGATGTGATGGGAGGTGGTTATTCTTATATTATGTATATATATATAGTATATGTATATATATATATATATGTATATAAGACTGCATCACCAAAAAAAGTTGCGACTTTTCCGTCGGGATTACAAAATTTATTATATTTGAAGACGTCCACCAAAATATTTCGGAAAAATATTAACATTTACGTGAGCTGGGCCGATGTGAAAATACCCCCAAAAATGGAGTTTTTTTATGAATAAAAATAGTTTCTTAAAGAACTTTTTGAAAAAAGTCCTCTCAGATGACAAAACAGATTAACGACAGAAAAGCTTTAATAAAAGGACAAAAACTACTCTGATTTAGACTTATGGGATCTCGGTAGAATGGCATTTTCCCACTATTTTTATTTATGTGCAAAAAAAAATATAAAATCGTGTCCCAATTTTTTTTTTAAATACCAACACATCTTAATTCAACTTTGAATGACGTTCATCTTACGTTTCTCTTTCATCATTTAAATAAGCTTATTAGAAATAAAAGGTTGAGAAAATACCTTTCCAGTGATACCTCACAAGTCTAAATCGGTAGAGTTAAGGTTCAGTTATTCAAGTTTTTCTTATACCAATCTGTGAAAAAAGTTAAAAACAGCATCACAAATCTCATTAATACGTTTCCGCTCAATTTTCTTTTTTTATTTCTATGTAAATTTTTTAAGCTTAAACCGTTTTGTCATTTGAGGGATTTTTTCAAAAAATTCTTGAAGAAAGTATTTTTATTTATAAAAACTCCATTTTTGGAGGTATGTATTTTCAAATCGGTCCAGCTCGCTTAAATCTTAGTATTTTTCCGAAATATTTTGGTGGACGTCTTAAAATATAATAGATTCAATAATTCCAATGGAAGAACAGTCCCAATCTTTTTTTTGTATGGGGAGTGATGCAGTCTAATATATATATACAGATGCGTGCAACTAATTAGCAACGAAATTCAAAACGATATTGCTTGCAAATTATGTTTATTTATTTATTTTTAATAATTTTCATTTAAAATATAATTCAATCTATAACAGAAACCACAATAACAAAAGTTGCAAAGCTTGCACAAATTGCAAAAAAATTTAATCAAACTTAAAAAAATCGTCATCAAAATTTCAAAATTTTTAATTAGAATATATAGAAAATGTTGGGGCAATTGGCGTCAGTTGGCACGGTAAA